CATTGCGGGGAGGGGAGCGGGGAGGCTTTGCGGGGGTCCTGACAGGAAGGGAGCAGCAGGACCCCCAGGAGGGTGGGGGGAGGGGGCAGAGGCCCCACGGAAGATTTGAGGGACCCAGAGGGGCGTTAAGGGACAGAGATCCCTGAAGGATGGGGGAGGGAGGCCCGGGGGATTTGGGGAGGGGGACGTGCTGGATCTCCTCAGCTCTGGGGCAGCAGGTGCCTGGCAACGCCCGGAGGGTCTGGACCCGGAGAAGCTGGCGGCTGTTTCCCCCTTTGATATGTTTTCAACTTCTGTATTTATTTCCTGGATGTGATGTTCTCTTCTGGGGGGAGGTGCAGGGCGAGAGCCATGGCCAGCCTCGGTAAAGGATCAGGATGTGTCATGATTCGTGAATCGATAATAACCAAGCTTGGTATGGCGCGTTTATAGGATTGGCACTGGGTCACAGTCTTTTTTGCAAAGCGGTCAAATGGGAGGGGAGGCAGAAGAATCCAGATTCAGTCCTTGCATCTTTAAGCAGGGATGAAATGCCTCTTGTTTGGAGGCCTGGAGAGTCACTGCCAGTCACAGGTTGAGTTTGCATGATGTATCCTACCTTAACCATGGTTTGTTCGGTTAATGTAATTTCTGATTTAATTTGTGTGACATGCTGAACCATCAACTGGCCCCCATGGCCTGGATTCACACAACACATTAAGCCAAACTGTGGCTTGTTAGTTTGTGGTTCGGTTTGTCATATGAACGTAACTAGCGTGAACAGCAGTTCTAGAAGGTTTGTGGTTTGACTTGGTCTCTGTTCCTAAACTGGCAGGCTGTTTTCTCTGTGTGCCTTTCCCCAATTTATCCCCACAACAGGCATGTGTGTGACTTATCCAAGGTCACCCAGTAATCTTGATGGCTGAGCAGGACTTTTATATAGCACTTCTGAGCATTGAAAGCACTTCATTTAGTATATATTTATTTATTGAATTTATCCCAGGCTTTCTACATAGAGGTCAGTGATTTTCATGGACATCTTGTTGCCATTTTTATAAAATTCTTCAACTTCCCTCAGAAGTAGATTAGAGTAATAAGAGCATGATGATTAACCCAAGGTCGTCCAGCATGATCTATGGCTGGGTGGATGATTTGAACTATGATCTCTATGGTTTTAGGTAGTCAGCATTGTATCGCATAGCTTTTATTTGCTTCTTGCCCTTCTCTTGCCTAAATTCTTGTCTCATTTTTATAAGAAGTATCATATTATTATCCCATATTTCAGACCCAGGGGAAAAAGTGGCTTGCCTAAGATTAAATTTTGAATTGAGGATTCTTTTATTCATAACTTGAACTTCAATCATACACCTATCTATCTTTCAGTAAATTCCACTGAGCATATTGTGACTTGTTTCTGGGATATGCAGAGCACTGGGCTGTCCCTGAAATACCACACAATGCTAGATCTCTGCTTTCCAAAATTTCATGGGTGAAAGTACGGATACTCAAGTACGTTTATGGTGACCCAATATTGATGACAGTGTCTGGAAAGAGATGGCATAACAGAAGGCACCATTTGGTGTCATTTATGTGCTAGATTATTTCTTGAGATGACTCTCTTCCCTGTCTCTTATGGTAGTGATTTAACCTGTAGGCCCCTGGAAGGCGGGGCCTGGTAAACAGGACTAGTTTCATGAGACCTGGATTCAAATCCATCACCACCTCAGATGTGAAAATCCAGGCCAGGCATGCCCTCCAGTTTATCAGCACAACTTTTGGATCGTGGTGAGAAAGAAATGGAGAAAGACTCGGATGCATGTTGCCTTAAACTCTCAGGAGGAAGAAGTAGGATGTGTATGTGATTACAGTAGATGAATGAAAGACTGTTGTAAAGTACTTTACAGATTATTCTTAGAGACCACATAAAGGAGAAAGATAAAAGATACCTCAAAAACACATTTCTTCTAATTGTTCAGCCACCAAACACCTGTTCAGAGATTAGGTTTTTATGTATGTGTCATTATATCTGGGACACTACATCAGTGTTTCTCAACCTTGGGAACTTTAAGTGTGGACTTCAACTCCCAGAATTCCAGGAATTTAAGTCCACACTTCTTAAAGTTCCCAAGGCTGAGAAACACTGCCTTACAGAGTGCATAACAGAAAGGCTGGCCTCAACCACAGATAGCTTGTAATTTAATTTTGTTTAAGGGAGTAAAGGAGAGGCAACAAGGACCTGAGATGTATAAGCACTTACTTATAATTAGGGTTAATGTTAAATGGTTCCTGCCTTTCTTCCCAATCACTTTGAATAGCCACTTGGCCTCACAAATATGTACTCTTGCAGAGTAGATTAGGCTGAGAAGCAGCAACTTTCCAGCAAAACGGAAAACTGAATGGGGATTGAATTTGGATTTCCCACCAGGCAACATAATCACAGTTCATCTAAGGAACAGTCAAGTCTTACACAGTCTTTGGATTATATTAGCCTAGAGATTTGGTGAAAGAGAGGTTTATAAATACAAAGCAGTCTGTAACAAGTTTTGATGCACTTTTAATATCCATACTTGATGGACAGCTGGAATGGCTAACGGGGAGCACTTCTGATTAGGGGACCATGTAGGGATAAGAGGGCAAATCATGAAATATAGGTGTTTAGGTTTGTAGGTCATGTACGAGAGCTTAGAGTATTTCAGTGCCTGTTAATTAAAATCAATTCTCCGTTCCCACGTCTTACAGTTGTTAAGAATGATTTATGTTCCTCTTCCCTTTTGTATTTAGTCTTAACTTAGTTTATAGATTCAAGAGCTCAGCCTGTGTGTTTTTTTATTGTGTACACTTCATAAAAGTTTCTAGAAAGCAAAGCAAGAGTTTCATGTTTGCAGAGTGGCTAAGTGTGAGCTAGAAATTCGTGCTTCAGTTCTCACCTTGCCCACAACTTTGCTTAATTATTCTTTAATAAGGAATAATGCCATTTCCTCAATGCTGGTCTTCTCTGTAATATGGAGATATTAGTTGGCCTACCTTATAAGATTATTGTTAGGCCATTGAAATATAAACCGGTTTGAATGTTTTGTAATAGTATCATGCTATTAATATCTTCATGGAATGAAGAAAATGCTTAATATATAAGGAGACACTAATTTTTACAGGCCTCCATCATCAGAGCCACTGACTTAGTTTTGCTGAGACAGCTCCTCCCCTAACTTCCTTAACAGCCTTCCTTAAACTATGTTGTGAATGGAGAGAGTTTCAAAATTGATGGTTGTCAGTTTTGACTTGTCAAAGAGGGTGATGCCATAGCTCAAGGACAGAGCACTTGCTTTGCATTCAAAAGATCCCTGGTTCTCTTTCTACCCCTCTCCTTTTTGAAAGCAGCTATGCCTTGCCTGAAACCTCTGGTCCACAAATGGCCCCCCTCAGTTTTGGGTGTCATTTTTCATGGGGTGGGGAAGAGACCTAATTATACACAGTGAGTAATCCAATTATGAATTATATTTAGTTAATTAAATGTAATGGTCATTAAATTTGATTAATGTACATGATTAAACTTGATTAATGTATATGTAACTTGGTCCTGCCGCATCCACTTTTGGGGGTGCCTGCTCCCCTCCTAGTATGTCATTCCAAGATCAGGCCAACCCTTGGCTCAGAAAAATAGGCAGCCCTGAGCTCGCAATGGAGGAGAAAGTCTCAATCACTTAAAGCCATCAATGTTGGCCTGAATGTTGCAAAGCTCCTTCAAAATGATCAGAATCAAAGGCCGGGTTCCCTAATTTGCTCCTCCTCCAGATCCTTTGGGGTTACGGTCATGGTGGGTGTGGAGTCAGGGAGGTGCCAGATTGGGGAATGCTGATCTAAAGAAGTCGGAGAGGAATAAAATTGTCCTTGTTTGGCAGGTAAAAGCCAACAAACAACATGGAAAACTGGTATTTGGTGATTGGAAATCTCGGGGTCTCCCATGTCAGATCTTTTACTTTATCACTCTTACCTCAATAAGCAGCAGTTTGGACATAGCCAGCAAATAGCATGCTGGCTGTCTTTGCTTCATGGCCTTTTTTAAAAAACAACAACAAAACCTTACACTTAATTAGTCTCAGAAGACTGTAGGGAAGATTTCCCAGTATTACCCAGTAAAGGTAGTTCTGTGCATCCAAGAAAAGCAGCATGCAGAGATTTCAAGAGAATGATCTGCAGACCTGCCTGAACTCAAGGCAGTGTTTCTTTTCTCTTCTTTCCCCAAATCTCAAATCGTCCCTCCCTGCCTTGAATCTCTAGTCCAGTGTTCTTCATATTTCTTATTGAGAGTACAGTATTATAATAAATATAACAGCCAGTTATGTAGCAATGTCCCAGACTTACTGTGAATTTGTGAAAGTCAGATTTAAGATGCAGATCCCAGCCTCCCTCCCTCCCTCTCTCTCTCTCTCTATGCATGCATGCACAGGCAAAAGGGCTGTCCTCTCTATTCTGTATGGAAAGTCCCTTTGTCTCTTGGTCTCTGTCAATCATCAGTGAGTCACGTTGGATGGGCAGATGGATGTTAGTTGCTTCCAACAGCAAGTTTGAGGATCCTGCTTGTAGCCCAGTGAAGATCCTGTGATTCTTTCTTTTGATCAGGATGGGGCTACTGGAGTTGCAGGTGGAGGTGCATGCTTGGAAACTCTTCATGATGAGCTGTCGTAAGCAGAGCTCAGCCACATTCCAAAAACGTAACTTGGAACCAGTAGAGCCCCAAAACTAATAATAGGCTAGAAATAGGAAAAGACTTGGATGCCCAACATTATTTTTATTTATTTATAATGTTTAGGTCCCACGTTCACTTTTTCTTCTAGGACAGTGCTTCCCAAACCTGGGTAAATTACCCAAGATTGGGTAAAATTGGTTTTTCTTTGGGTAACGACACATGAACCCATAACCCATCACAACAGGGACATTTAAATGGACGCAAGTAAAAAGGGCTTTCTGATAAGCTGTTTTGGATAATGAAGGGAAATGTTTGGGAAGCACTGATCTAGGAGCTCCTGGCAGTGTTTCTCTTCTCTCCTCACAAACTTGGTGCAGTAAGTTAATTTGAGAGAAGTAGAAATGGCACAAACCGCTTGTGGTTCAACCCCCTTAACCTCTACATGATATTGACTCTTAAGATCAGGGAAAAGCTTCTTCGCAACACAATGGATGAATCTTTAGACTTTGAGTGGTGACTGTTTCCAATGGTTGTGGCCAATAGGATGCTCAAATTGAGTCTTTATGAGGACTGAAATCTGTGATTGCACCTTTCTTTTTAAAAAGAGGTTGTCTAAAACAACATTTGAACGTTCCAGCTGAAAGAACAGAATTTCTTACACTATATTATTAACAGTTTGAAGTTAAGGCCTTCCTCTGCCATCTAAAAAGTTCAGTTGGGTGTCGCACGGTGCCTTCCTATATGCACATATTTGGCTGGGTTCACATGTTTACTTTTGTGTAGTGTGCTGTGTCAAGCCAGACTTTGTGGTTTGTAAGCCATTATTGCTTAATGTTGTGAGTTAAGCTGGTATGATGAATGCAGTTGCATATCATCCCTGTCATTTACAGTATATATCTGCACAGCCTTCTCTATCACATGCAGAATGCTGCCACTTCTTTGATAGCTTTTATCAACTTGTCACACTGGAAAGGTTGAGTGCAGCTTGCATTTTGGCAGAAAGGGGGCACTTGGAGGAAGAGGAAGAGGAAGTGGTAGCTACATCCTGTTCTGTATGAGTCTTTGTCTCTAAGACACCAAGGAAAACATTCCTCCTGGCCTTGAAATTCTCCTCTTGGGGCTTCTTCCATCACATGTTGTTCCCAGGGAATAGAGAAAACGCATCAGAAATCATCAACATCTTGGGTGCTTGTTGCATCTGGGAAAAAAGGGGGGATAGGGAGGGAGTACCTGCCAGGCAGGCAACTAAAACAGAGGGCCTGCTGAAGGAAACTCACGTGGAATTGGAGAGGAGGCAGAGAAGGAAGGGAGAGGTCACCATCTGGGTGGAAGGACCCTGAAGGCCAAGACCACCAGTTTCCCATCCCTACAGAAAGATAAAAAGTAGATCCCTTGCCTCCATGTTGTTTCACATTCTTCTGAGCAGGAAATATTTCAGCCTAATGGTTATGTCTATGCAGATTGAAATAAAATGCTATATGTTGCATTCACTCTCATGTTTGACTAAGGACTGTGATTCCATTTGTCTTGGCATTAATTCTTGGGGTTAGTAGGCTTTTCAGGCAAATATAGACATCAGAGAATTTAAAAAATAGATAAAGCTAGAACTTAATTGAGAACTCAGAGGTTTGCAAGATTCCTGCAATATACTTTATCCTTTAAACCAGGGGTTCCTAAACTTTTTGCCATCACACCTCCCTTTAGTGTAATCTTAATGTACATACCTCCTAAAAATCCAAACACCAAAATTAGCACAAATGAACAAGGAAAACAATACAGGTAGTCCTAGATCTGGGAGATTGTCAAGGCCTCATTGCAAGAGGGGATGTAACCTGCAGCCTTGAAGGAAGCTGTGGTGCACCCGCTCCTTAAGAGGCCCTCCCTGCATCCAGAGATATGAGATAACCACCACCCAGTCTGTAAGATATTAAATAGTAGGGCAGAGAGGACCAACATCTGTAGCACCCATCTAACATTTTTAGGAAAGATTGCTGAGATGGTGGTGGGTGATCAGCCACAGGATACCCTAGAAGAAACAGCTTATTTACAGCTCAGGGTTCAAGTCTGGGCATGGGACAGAAATGACATTGTTTGTGCTAGTAGTTGAGTTTTGTTGGGACATGTATGGGGATGGTGTACCTGTCCCAGTCCTTTTAAATGTCTTGACTTCCAAGGGATTGGAGGCACTGTTTCCTCAGTGGATAGTTCCAGGTGGGGTGGCATCAGCACAGTGATTGCTCCACACAGGTTGGCCCTCTCTCCCATACTATTTAATATCTACATGAAGCCACTTGGAGAGGTCCACCAGCAGTTTAGATGTCAATGTCATCAATAGGCTGATGATACATCACTAGCCCAGGTCCCGCTGATGATGCCGTTGGTCCTGACCTGGTGCCTGGAGGTTGAGAGGACAGGCTCCTTCAAGATGGAGTTCTAGTTGGTTCACTCAGGCTGTCTGCCTACTCCAGTGGTGTTTCTTGATGGAGAAGCCCTGTCTCTGGAGGAGCAAGTTCATGACTTGAGAGTCCTCCTCGAACAGGGGCCTTTACCTCCCATTGGCTGGACTGGCTGTGCAACCCTAACCTGACGCAAGAGGACCTGTTACAGTGCCTCATGCCCTCGTCACCAACTGCTTAGACTACTGCAAAATGCTCTCCATGGGCTGCCTTTAAAGACCACTTGGAAAATTCAGTCGGTTGAAAATGCAGCCTCTGGATTGGGTGGCATGTGCCAGTGGGAAGACATTGCATCCACGCTGCAGATCCTGCACTGGTTGCCAGAAGGGTTCTGGGCTGTGATTTAAAGTGCTGATTTTAACCTTTAACGCCCTATATGGCTTAGTATCAAGTTCACGTTCAGGACCACATTCTCCTGTTAGAGTTGGCCTGACCAACTCAGTCTTGCCAGGAAAAATTGCTGGTGGTTCCCCACTTTCGGAAGGTGGAAGGAGTCCAAGGTTTGGCCTCAATACTTTTCAGTTGCAGCACCAGTCCTCTGGAATGCCCCCCCCAGTAGAAATTGGAGAGGGTCCCACTTGGGCTGTCTTCAAGAAGCAGCCGAAAACAGAGCTCTTCCAGAGGGCTTCTGTGCCATGATGCTCCCTGGGCTGTATCTTGAAGGCTGCTGGACCTGCACCGTGCTGGAGATTTACGATGTTTTCTATGTCTTAATTTTGTATTGATTTTTCCATTACCCATTGTGAACTGCCGAGAGTCCTTTGGGATTGGAGCAGGATATAAGTATAATAAATAAAATAAATGAATCTTTTACTTTTATTGGGGCAGAGGCCTCGCCTGTGTGAAGCGAATGAGGCCCACTTTCACAATTTTCAAATATCACAAAAGATGCCTAGTTGGTTTTTGGTTTGGGTTTTTTTGGGGTTTTTTTAGCACGCTCTGCATGCTACTGAGTGCCTTTCCCTGGTACTCAGTATGAAGGAAGGCTGTCATGGTGAGGCATTCAAAAAAGATGCTTTGCAGCGTGCATTAGTGCAAAGAAAGGAAGCGCCTCTTTAAAAAGCCGAGTCTCCTGCAAGGTTCATGGCATGTCTTTGAAATCTGTCCTGAATTACTGTATGGTTTCATGCACAGGCAGTGCTTCCACTAGGATCCCTGAAAGGGGGCAGGGAGCAGCAGAACTCCCTTCTGCTCTTGGGAAAGGCTTCCACGTGATGCTGGTTGTCCTGCTTCCCAGAAGGCCTCACTTCCGGAGAGCAGATGTGCAAACACCTGCCTGCTTTGGGCAATGTCCAAGCACATACCCTATGAATATTCAAACATGAGTCCCAAAGTGAATGGAATTGAAATAAAATGCCGTTCTCTATTACTCCAGCCTGACTTGCAGACTTAGCTTCTTTTTCTTTTTCCCCTTTCTCATTCAGGTGTTGGCAAGAGCAGTTTGCTGCTACGTTTTGCAGACAACACTTTCTCAGGTGAGACGGGCATTGGCCCTGCCGCCAGAACCTCCATCCAGGGCTCCCCGGAGTGCTTCAGATAACACTGATTAAGCGCTGCAGGAGCAAAGGAGGGGGCTAAAAACTGAAGAACCCGTGGGAGAACACCCTAATCCCATTGCCATCCAAGGCTCCAGGGGCACAGGGTAGAGTTGTGCTGCCCGTTGAATGAGAGCAGACACACTTAGCAAAAGACATTGGAGGAGCCACAGGGTCTGTTCTTTTTCTTGAAACCTCAGTGTAATATATGTGGGGTGAGGAGGAGGGGGAGGAGGAGGAGGAGGAAGAAGAAGAAGGTTACATATATCCCCACTTACCATGTTCCAAGTCTATATGTCCCTACTCCTGTGATTAGACTTTTCAGTACGACGGGCTCTCCTTCTGAAATAAATAATGCACTTTAAACCACCCTCCTTTTCTAACTTCTAGTTCATTTGTGTCATGTTTTCAAGCCTCTTAAGAAGAGTTTTATACGGGAGGCTTATATTGAAAAATATAAAAAATAATGAGCGCATGGTGTCTTAATTGCATGGCATAATGGTAGTTTTGTGTTGGTACTTTACTACTAGCCTTTTAATTGTTATTTCATCTTTGTAGTTTGGGGTTGTTTGTTTTTATGATCAGTGTAAATTGATTAAGCATGTCCTTCCATCCCTGTTAAATGCTTTTATAGTCTGTAACTATGGAGACCCCCCTTTAAAAAAAAATAACGAGAGTTTTGAGGGTTTAAAAACCAGTTTCAACAGGATAGTTGAATGGAAACAGTGGGACGCCAACAATATTTTCCCTTAGATAATTTGCAGACTGCAGAAAAAGTGTTCCTAGTCAATTTTGCACCATTCAGAAGCAGTGAACTGCCTACAATTGGTGAGCTAGTACCTTTCAGAAACTCCCACAATTTCTACTATGCGCGTGCTTTTTTCTACCACAGGCAGCTACATTACCACAATTGGAGTAGACTTCAAAATTCGGACTGTTGAGATTAATGGAGAAAAAGTCAAGCTACAGATCTGGGATACTGCTGGACAGGAGCGCTTCCGGACTATCACGTCAACGTGAGTCTGTTTAAATAGGCTATCAGCCAATCAGATAACTGGATTTAGTCATGGGCTTATATTGATAGGATTAAAAAATGGTTGTTCCTTCCTTCCTTGTTTTTGTTTATTCTTTTTCTCTCCCAAGTTTGCCTTGTGGGTCAGATTGAAATCTGCAAACAGGACAAAATATTAAAGATACATAGGGGTGTTTGTGGCCATGGTTTTTTACCTTGGGCACTTGGTATAATAATCAAGGTTCCAGTTCAGTAGGGAACTTCAGGATTTGGGAATTTTAGCCTTCCAGATATGGTTTCAGTACAACTCCCAACATCCCCTACTGCACATCTAGGGACAGTAAGAGTCGGGTCTAAGGATGACCCAGCAGTCCAGTTCCCTACTCCGATTCCTAATACTTACTTGAAGGAAATATTCTCCTGGATATTCCCTTTTTCATTTGCTATTACGTTAAATAATCAGGACCAGGGAGTCTTCAAATAAGTATATCTTTAGCAGTCTTTTCTGTTTTCTAATAAAGAGTTACCTTTATTAGTTCTTCTGTTGAAATGTTCATCAGTGGAACCAGTAAAAGCTTGCAAGCTTCTCTTTTAAATAACAGGCACAAACGTGACCCTCTGCACTGTGGACACCACTAGTAGGATTACAGTAGCTGATACAAATTGTAGTTTCTTTTCTTAAGCATGGAATACACCTAACATTCACTGATTGATTTTATGGGCCCGGCACTGAGAGTGGGGGCTTCTTTGAAGGGCCTTACGTAGACTTCAGGCCCCACCAAAATGTGGCTTAATTTGCTTCTGAATTAATGGAGAAGTGTGGCTAAAGTTCTGGGCATAGTTTGTCTTAATAGGTCCCTGATCCTGCGTGAGAAGGTGTTACAACATAGAGTGGGAATGAAGCTTGATAAGAGGCCTTTCTCTGTTGGTGCCAGCTCCTTTTCACACAGACAGACGCATGAATAGCTCTGAGATTTTGTTTTCTGTAGAGAACGTTGTCATAGCGTTCTGGCAAAGCAGGTTCAAGAAAAGAAATGACAGGCTAGCTGTGAATCATTGCATGTTTGAAAATGGGAAAAACGCCACAGAAGTAATTTCAGTGATTTGACACTTAAATCTTTCTTAGTATGGATTATTTGTTTTGGCCTGATTTTAGCCATTTCATTCTCTTTTCATTCAGATGAGTTGTTTGCTAGAGAGAATGATGAATTTACAGTGTAATATTTTAACTGGCTTACTGGTCTTTTTTCAAAGGAACCTGAGAACTGTCTCCTTTGAGGAAGGCAAGGTATTTCCAGCAGAGAATTTCCATTACCTAAAATAGATTTGTGAGGATACTTTGGAAGAAGTCTTGACAGTGGCCTAAAATATCTTTGTTCTATATGTATGCCTTCACCACAGCCCTGTATATAAAGGGCAGTGCTTGATTTAGAGAAGCTGACATTTAAAATGTTGAATTACATGTTTAGCTTTGCACCAGACTCATGAAGGTAGGATGTTCATAGAACAAGAATGAAAGCTAAGGAAAGGAACAAAATTCCCATTTTTCATTGATAGATCAATCCAATGGGTGCTGCTTATGACAGCAGAGAAGGAAGATATTAGTGCTTGTGATGATAGGTTAGCTTTGCAAATAAGGTTGAAGGTTGACCCAGTCTCCCCAGAATTCACTGAGATGTTGTCAAGTGTTTGGGGAGTAGGATCAAAATATGTCTGATTAGACACCACATCTTACAATTAGGGGATTCCACCCAGCCCCAAAACTTTAAAAAACCAGACTTCTGTGGAACATGTACAGAAATTGGCATATGTGCCTGAAGACTTTCTGCGCCCTTCTTTACTGCTGCAGGAAGAGCGTGAAGCACTATTAAAGTGAATGCACAGTGTGAACCAACCCGGACTTCCTCACCGTCCTTAGGCATATCCTCTGTGGTTTGTGCTGTGTGGGCCAGCTTATGGCAGGAAATGGTGAAGGGGTGTAAAACAGCACTTGCAGATGGCGAGATGTGTGTCAGCCCAGTGTCTCACTGACTGTGTCAGCAGATCTTTTCTTCTGGGTGGTCATGCATGTACCAACTACAATTGTGGCTTAGTTGGTGTCTAATGCCAGCTCCTGCGGGGAATACCCTGAATGGAAATTTCTAAATGGGAACAGAAAAAGCTACGCAAGGCCTGTGTCACTAACCCAGTTCTCAGTGCAGGGCTACGCCTAGGGCTGAGCATGTCATGAAGTTCCCCAGAAGTCTAACCAAGTCCCCTCATGTGGTATTGAGTTTGCTAAGGATCTCAGTTTTTGGAGTGAGTGTGTGTGTTTAAAAAAAGACTTTTCTGACTTCCACTCATATGAAGACTTGCTTAAGCAAGTCCTGGTGAAATTGCATAAGGCAGAAAAATTTCAACACAAGACTTCCTGTGGAGTGTTGAACTTCAGTAACCATGTATGCATTTGACCAGTCCCGTTATTAGCAAATCCAGAGTAGATTTTATCCATAGGCAAAAATCAGTTGCAAAACTCAGGTTGCCTGGTGCATTCAGATGTCTCTCCTGCAGAAAAGTCCTGGTCAGGAGTAGGACTCGTATCCACAGTTACTTTTGCTATGGCTGGTATGGTACTCTTATGTAGTCCTGTTGTTGTTCTTAAGATTTCTTTGAAGACCTGGCAGGTCCTTCAGGCACTGGGGCCAGGATGTTAGATGAACTTGTTCTGGGAGGTGGACTACTTGTTGGTGTGCCCCAGCCGTGTCTTTTGTTCTTGTTGTTAATGTTTGATTATCAGAATATTTTGGTTTTGGTTTTCTTGTACCTTGTCCAGTGTCATATATCTGCAAGTTGGGTGACTCTATAATATAAATCTATAAATTAATGCATAAATGATTGTTTTGTTCAGATAGAAAGGGTGCCAAGGGGGTGCAAGGTGATTTCAAATTGAGGCGCTTAGTTAAGCTTAATCCATAGTAAGCTTATTAACTTCCAAAGACAGCTCCCCCTCTTACTTTGTCCTTGTAGTGATCAAGCTCCTTATGAGCTGACATCATGCTGTCGGATATGCACAGTGACTTCCAGGAAGTTGGCTGATTTGCTTGTTTATTTCTTTATTGAATGTATAGGTGCCCGGCTCTAGGTGGCTTACAACTGAAAACCAACATATAAACATACAACTGACCAGAAGAGCAAAATATCAAAACCAAACCAACACAGGTTAATCCAAAATAACTCAAAACAAGGCAAAACAAGGTTGTGCTGGTAGCAAATAATTTCTTTCTGAAAAGAAGTTGAAACTGGGGGGGAGAAATAATCAAAGGGAGCCTGGTAGCACCTTTTCTGAGCAACACATTGTATTAAAAGGCATCAGCTGAGGAAAGCTGATGCCTTTTAATGAAACGTATTGGTCAGAAAAGGTGCTATCAGATTCCTTCTGATTTTGGGCTACCGTGGACTAAGCTGGCTCCCTTCAGTGTCAGCAATACAAGCAGATGAACACTTGGTCCATTTCTTGTTTGTTGTCTCTTGTCAACTTTTTTTATGATTTGGGAGGGGGGCGTTTCCATTTTTCTTTCTCAACAGCCAAGGGCTTAATGTGAACAAAACAATAATATAAAAGCAACAGTGGAAGTAATAAATCCATTTGCGGAGAATTTGACAGATGCATTTGACTTTGACAGATGCATTAAGCCTCCTGAAGGCACCATGTTGTTGTTTTTGCTCCATCTACTGCCATCAGCTTTCCAGGCTCCACACAGGTCTTTTTTTCCCCAGGCTTCCTTCAAAATGGCTATGATTATACCTAGAACCTTCTCAATGCAGAATTTGTGCCCTGGCATTGATAAGTCGATGTTATGACTGGATGAATGACCTTTACTTTTCAATGCTAGAGTCCTAAATAATGAAATAACAGAAACGGAGGTTACATTTGTCCTTCAATCCTCATCCGTATCTCACTGTTGTAGGATTCCTAAGGCGTGTTGCTGTGGAAGGTCATCTTTCAGTATCTCTTGCTGCCCCCAGTCTGACACCACTGCTTCTTCCAACGTTTCTTCCTCTCTTGTTTCTTCTCTCCTGAACTTCTCATCTGCTCGAGGGAGGCTACTGGTGACAGCCGATGTCCCCAGCTCACAAAGTCCTCTCCATGGCAATCTGATATTTTAAACCTGCCAACTCTGCTTCCCACAGATCTCTTTCTACTTTCCACATTGTGTGCTTCCCCCATCGTGTTAATGCGCTGAAAGAAAAACCAGCATCCTGGCCTATCTCTTTCTTTCTTTTTCTTTTTTCCCCCTCCACCTTCCAATCTCTGGTTTGTATTGTTCTGCTGAATGGTTTATTTGGCTAATCTGGGGAGTTAAGAGGGCTATCCACAGCCATTGTTTCCCCAAGGTATATCTGTATTTTTGTTTTCTTATAGTAATAAAGTAGAAGTTCTCTTTAAACTCAGAGAAGCATTCTTGTGGGCCCTCATGCTGCTGGAGCTCTTGAACATCCCCCTGTAGGTGTTAAATCAGTATTGGATGTTAAATGGCTGTTGTCCTTACACATTTGGGTTCTAAAGTAAATCGATTTATGATGGTGGGAATGCAGACTCTCCACTGAGATCTTCTTCCTCAGTTTGATGGTCTAAATGTGTCAGACTTCAGCTCCTGGAATTCCCAGCCTTTGGTCCTGAGGTCCTGGAATTAGAGGAGTTAAAATGCAGCATATCTAAAGTGCACCAGAAGCAGTCTGCATGTAGATACAATTATGCACATACAGCTGGAAATGAATCCCAAGGGGACAGTGAACTTAGAATCAGTGAATTTTGGGATCATGTCTTGATCATGGTTGTCTCTGCCCTCAGGTACTACAGAGGGACACATGGGGTCATTGTGGTTTATGACGTCACGAGCGCAGAATCTTTTGTGAATGTCAAGCGGTGGTTGCATGAAATAAACCAGAATTGCGACGATGTTTGCCGGATATTAGGTAAACTGCCTGGTTTGGGGAAGATTTTAATAGAACAAGACCCACTATATTGGAATGTCTTTATCCCATAATATGCTACTGTAATATATAGGATGTACCTGAATTGTGAACTATTTAAAATTCCCAGTTTAAGTCTCAGTCTATTTCCCATTAACTTCATAAGTAGTTTTAGATAAACTGGGTCTTGGCCACTGCTCGGCCCACCATTAGCCCCCCATCTTCAGTATTAGCATAATAATTCAAATCTACTCGACAAGCCCACTGGAAGGATTCCAGGCAATGTCACTGGCATGTTTTGAACCTCCCAAGGTGTTGCATTAGAGATCCCCTCCTACTCTCAGCTGTCGTTCCAACTAATCATGGGTAGCTTGCCCTAAGAAGTGGGAGAGAAAAGGCAGGCACCTAGAGATTCCAGGATTCCAGCCACTTCCAGGATTCCAGCCATGAATTTTAGACCCAACACATCCAGAGGGCACCAGGTTGAGGAAGGAGAAGTTAACCCTGATGTTCCAAATGAGAGACCTTTTTGTCTTAATGAAAGGAGAGATCAAGTGTTCCTGTCCTTATTATTGTATCTTGAATTGATGCTTTTTTGAGGTTCCTCAAAAAGGCAATAGACAAATCCCTGGGGTAAGGAAGTACAACTTTATTCACTGATAGCCCAGATTTTATACATGCATCACGCCTTCAGTGGCTCTTCTACAAGTTTGCAGCAATGACCTTTGGTTTCCATTGCTCTTGCAGTGGGCAATAAGAATGATGATCCAGAACGGAAAGTGGTTGAGACAGAAGATGCCTATAAATTTGCTGGGCAGATGGGGATCCAGCTGTTTGAGACCAGTGCCAAAGAGAACATTAATGTGGAAGAGGTAATCGAAAAAGACGATGGGGGGTGCCAGTATGGTTTGAAGAGCCCAGTGCTGACCACCAACATACTGCTGTCTTGGGGGTTGTCTTCATAGCCTATGGACAAAAGGTGTGCCCGGTCGTAAAATAGTTGCCCCCCATTTTGTCTCCAGGAATTAAACAGAAAGTCCTGGTCCTGGGGCTGAAAGGTTCCTTTCAGCAAGAACTAGCCCTTTGTGGGGTCAAGGAGGGAGCCTGAGTTATGTCGCATTCATTGCTTGAAGCCATTGTCTCATTTGTCGGTGTGCGGCTTGGCTTGCTGTGTCAGCCCAGCCATGTGCAGCTTATTCAGCAAACCATGACTGAGCAAAGCCAACACAGTCATCAAGGGTGCCGCTCTCAGTGGCTTGCTCTCACCAGGCTAACTGGTGGCTCATGAAGCTGACCATGGCCTCCAGGTGAGACACATGAGCCAGGAGGAGATAACCTTTTAGGGGGGAAAATGTTATACTATGAGGAAAAAAGGAGATTCCTTTCACTCTATTTTCACCCTATTAATCTTCCCAGGAAAATAAGCTCCTAGCTTAGTTGTCATCTGCAAAGTTTCTGGGTACCAAGTGAGCCCAGGAGATCCGTTTAAGCAGGAGCAGAAGGAACAGCGGAAGCAGAGGGAACTTTTTCCAACCTCTTCTTCCTATTTCTTCTAACAGTTGAGGCTCACCAACTCCTGATAGGCCCTTTTCACATAACACGCTTCCCTGGGTCACAAGAGCAAGTAAGGTGGGATTAGCTGTAGCCACAGACAATTCCAGGACTGCCTGGGAATAGCTGGGGATTGTGGAAGCCCTAACCCAGCACTTCAGGACTTACAGAGGCAGCATACAACAAAGCTGGCTTCTTCTTAAGTCCAGCAGGATGAGCATCATGAGGCTAACCCTTTAGGGTTTCACTCGAGTTCAGACTGAGGAACTGTTCAAGGCTGTGCTGCTGACACCTTTATATGCTTTGTTATGGCTGGATCCAAGCATTCCATGAAATCCTAGCCCGATTGACTTGTTTCTGGCTTCACATGTTGCAGGAACTCGGCCATTGTCTTTGAGTTCCAAACTTTTCTTCATCGGTTAGCAGTTTGTGGGAGCCCAGCCAGTCTGGCTGTATCAACCTACCATGACTTAGATGTGGGAACCAAGGAGTAAGGCAAATATAGGGTTCCCCATGTGGCTTTCAAGGAACACTTGAAGTGTCCCAGGTTCTGGATAACCCAGAAATAACAGTTCAAAGGTAACAACAAATTAGCGTAGGAAGAGGGCAAACTTTACAAGAGTGAGGATTCGGTAGTCATCTGCAGTCCTATAGCTCCAGCTCAGGAGCAACTGTGGCTTCCTAGAGCAGGGTTTCTCAACCTCATCAACTTCAAGATGTGTGGACTTCAACTCCCAGAATTGGCTGGCTGGGGAATTCTGGGAGTTGAAGTCCACACATCTTAAAGTTGACGAGGTTGAGAAACCCTGCCCAAGAGGTTGAACTTCTCTCTCTCAGTGTCCCTCCCCTTCACCCCAGAGGCTGCTGGGAGTTGTAGTCCAGCAACAGCTTTCGAGCCCCCCGATTGCTTACCTCCCAGGAAACAAAGGGCCTGCTGCATAGCCCTGCCAACTCCCCCTTCCTGATTGCTTTCCCTTTTTTTCTCCCCCA